CTCTTCTATATGGTATTTTAATAAACTCTTTAAGTGGAGCTCCACCCAAAAGGGGAAGTCCTACTCCCCATTAAGGATTACTGCGTTTGGGGAGCGGAGGTACCCAAATTTTCCAAGTACTTGCTCTCACTTCCTCTACAATCGCCTAGACGATTGGAAGCGGAGGTTGAAATCCACGTTCTAAAGGATAGGCTTATGTTGCCAGATGTGAAGACAGAAATCTGAGAACCAGGGAATACCTTTATTTTGGCCTGTTTTCTGCTCTATCCATTTTATTCTGGAAACCTCTTGCCTCGCAATCATCCAGTTAGACCTCCTGTGGCACCTTAGTATGTAAGCCTGGTGCTCTCTGTACTTCAAAAACCTTTGAACCAATTAGACCTTGTCTACACTTGCTTCAAAATGTGCAATTTGACATGATTTTTCTTAAGCAGTCTGAATGCCAATCAAAGCACCTCACCAAATAAAATGGTTGCCTTACAGTTCTGTTCACACTTGTGTTTGCTTTACTTCAAGAAGTAAACCCTATGCTAGATTCTGTATATTGAAAACTGTGCTTGACAATTGTAAATTATTTTGTTCCATTGAACGAACCAGTTTGCACTTGCAATGTACACTTACTATAAAAAAAAAAATAAACTATTGGAAAAGAAAATGATACCATATGTCACTTTTTTGGTGCTTAAAAGCATCTCCAAAACCATTTATAGACATCTATCACAATGCTCGCTAACAGCATTTGAGGGGCATTTATTCAGAGTTGACTTCGCCTTGTTTTGGAGGTATAAGATTATCCCAGGATGCACTGGGAAATCAACAAGTGAACCAGAAATCGGCAGTCACTTCTGGGGAGCCAGAGCAGGAAAAACTAGCAGATGTCACACTTGGGGAGCAGCATGAGAGTAATTTTGCAGGAGGTGAGGGAGAGGACTAAGTAGCGGAGAATCAGCAGGGCTGGGAGACCAGAACGAGAGAAAACTAGCAGATGTCACACGTTGTGCGCAGCATGAGGGGAATATAGCAGGAGGTGAGCGAGGCCCGGAGGGAGGAGGATCCGTAAACCCGTGGATCAGCATAGCTGGGGGTTACTACTGAGTGGAGGATCAGAAGAGCGGGGGGTAATATGAGCCAGGGATCTGCTGAATGAGAGTACTAATGAGATGGGGATCTGCTGAATGGGGATACTAATGAGCTGGGGTATTACTGAGCTGGGGGTACTACTGAGCCAGAGTTCTACTGAGCCATTTTAAAACAAATAGAAAACTAACACTCACAGGGCTATTGCCAAGCTTCAATAAAGCTCTAAAAAAGCATCACAGAAGCATAGAAAATGCATGGTGAAGCAGTAGTTAAAATCAAAGCAAGTGTAAATTAACCCTTCCAGAGATACAACTTGAAAACCTCACTTAAAAGGTTGCCTTCCTGGTAGCCATTACATCTGTCAGACGTGTCTCTGAGTTGGCAGTTATTTCATGTAAATAAGGACACAAGGACAAGGCGGTTTTTAGTCCAAAACTTTTCTTTCTACTCTAGGTGGTTTCTTTACACCTTTTACCTTTTGGTATCAGAGCCCATTCCATCAGGGCTGTTGGTATCTCATGGGCTTTACATCATCTGCTTTCCACATTTGCAAGGCTGCCATCTGTTTTGCTGTTCCCATGTTTTCAAAGTTCTGCCAGGTATATTTTTAGGCCTCGGCTGGTGCAAGCTTAGACTGCAAGGTTCTTCAAACTGTTATCTGAGGTGTTTTTTTTTTTTTTTCGTTTTTTTGGTCTGGTTCTTTAACCCTTGGTTTCTTGGGGGGCTTTTGGCAGTTTTGTTGTTGCCCATCCCTCAATTTATTGCTTGGGTATGTCTCATGAATTATGAATAAAAGTCCTGTATTGTAGGATTAAAATAATAGGAATTTTGATACACCTGTATATTCCTTATCTTGGAGTACAGTACAGGACATGGGTCCCTCCCCCCTGTGTCTTGATCAGTCCTTATCACTGGCTAAAAAACTGGAGTCTCATGAAGGAGGGGTTACCGTATTTTTCTCTCCATAAGACGCGCCTAGGTTTTAGAGGCGGAAAACAAGAAAAAAAATATTCTGAACCAATGGACTGCAGACACAGTACAGGAAATGACCAGAGACTGGGGACAGTATAGGGGATGACCAGAGACTGTGGACAGTATAGGGAATAACCAAGAGACTGTGGACATAATACAGGAGATGACCAGAGACTGCGGACAATAGAGGAGATGACCAGAGACTGTGGACAGTAGAGGAGATGACCAGAGACTGCGGACAGTGCAGGGGATGACCGGAGAGACTGCGGACAGTGCAGGGGATGACCGGAGAGACTGCGGACAGTGCAGGGGATGACCGGAGAGACTGCGGACAGTGCAGGGGATGACCGGAGAGACTGCGGACAGTGCAGGGGATGACCGGAGAGACTGCGGACAGTGCAGGGGATGACCGGAGAGACTGCGGACAGTGCAGGGGATGACCGGAGAGACTGCGGACAGTGCAGGGGATGACCGGAGAGACTGCGGACCTTTGGGAAGGGACGTACCCGCTCCCACTTTCGCGGAGTTGTCCTCCCTTTAGTGTGGGCACCCGGCTGACAGCCATGTGCCCACTGCGCATGCACGAGAAGCGCTGCACATTGTGATTGGTTCGTCGTATTCTGGGACCTGTCATGTGTCCCAGAAGACGCCGTACTATTCACAAAGTGCAGCGCTTCTCGCGCATATGCACTGGGCACCCGGCTGTCACAGCCGAGAGTCCACACTAACGATGCCGACGCAGGAAGCCTTCTCAGTGCTGAACCGAGGAACAGGTAAAGTCCTGCTGCAGAGAAGAGACGAGCGGCCGGTCCGGTATTCTGATGTGGCGAGGTGGGAATACCGGACCGGCCGCTCCATATTCGCTCCATAAGATGCACTGACATTTTCTCCCTTTTTGTGGGGGGGGGGAAGTGCGTCTTCTGGAGCGAAAAATACGGTATATGGTAAGATCTGAGGGCAGCACTAGTTTTTTTGCCAATGTCCAATCATCTGAAGGTAGCTGCAAATAACACGTGGTCTAAGAATACAAATTGTGTGTACTGTGCTCAAAAATGAGGAATGCTTAGATAAGTAAAAATTCCTTATTTCTCCTCTAACACGAGATCGTTCCTATGTGTGTTCCCCAGATATGGACTTCTGACTTTACCACCAAGAATGAACAGGAGTTTTTGTTATGACAAGAGGTCATTTGGATCCAACTTGAACAAACTTCTGGTTTCTAGGGCTGTATACTCTGCTTCCTTGAAGTGGAGGCCATTCTTTTTCCCCAACTGGACATGAAGGTGCAGTCCATGCACAAAATTGCATTACAGATCCAATCTTGCCGCTGGAAGTCATCAGAAGAAGGCCCTTTGATACCCTGGCTAAACTCAAGGAGAAGGCCTTTCTTGCATTGTTCCTCATTATTGATTTACCCAGGCAAATGTTCTTTGCTGCTCTGATAGGTTTCCTGACTGTTTCTCCTCGGACTGTGATGCATTGTTTGATGGTTTTTAACTTCCCGACAGTATAAGACTCCCTGTGTTCCTTATTGGATGGTAAAGAAAATTGGATTTTTGCTCACTGTAAAATAGCTTTTTTTTTTGGCATCCATTGAGGGACAAAAGGTCCCATGCCTATATGTTTGTGATCCTGCTTTTAGTAATCTTTATTAAAAACTTAGACCTGCCGGTAGTAGGAGGGGTTATCCTGGGCTGGCCCCAGATGGTTTTTTTTTTTTTGCAGTGTTTAATCCTGTAGGCAGCAAAAATAGTTTTCTACTTCCTGTATCCCTCAATGGACAAAGATTTTACAATGAGTACAAAACCTTATTTTTAAGACTGGTTTCCTGCCTGTTTGCTTTGTAGCCTTCAGTATTTTCCCACTGACAAAAAAGTATGCATATTCAGGAGTTCTGGCTGAGGTTTTTTTTGCAACAGAGAAACGTTTTATTTCCTTCAGGGAGTGGAAGATGCTTTTTGCACATTAGTGAGGGAGATACGACAGCTGCTTATTGAGTGATAATTGCAATTTTCTGCAAACTTGAGCTATTTTCTATAGCTTATATTGAAATCAGGACTCTGTAAAGCTAGGGCTGCCTGTAAGTCTTTTGAGGAGACCGATTAAGTCGTAAGTGGTTGTAAAAGCTCAGGATTTTAACTTTCATATATTTTGTGCATGAAGGTAAAAAAACCTCCTGTGCACAGTAGCCTCCCTAATACTTACCTGAGCCCCAACGTGATCCAGCAATGTTCACGAGAGCCTCAGCTCTCTGAGGACTCTCCCTCCTCATTGACTGAGACAGCAGCAGGAGTCTTTTTTTTCTTTTAAGAAATTGCCTTTAATATCACTTTATAAATCTTAAGGTGAAAGGGTGGAACTTCATTATATTGAATTTGAATTCACACCAGCTTTGGGAAGTTGTCTGATAAAATCATTCTTAGCAGGTCAGGAATATAAATAAGTATTTGGCACTGCTATTATGTCCCTTTTGGATTTACACAAACTGTCTTCTAATCGAGTGGGTGAGATCTCCCACTTTAGTTAAAGTGCCTCTGCAGAATACCAAAGCACCTGATAACACGACTACATTCTTCATAGAATCAATGTTTATCCATAAAAAGCAGTTAAAGTGCCACTGATAAAGAAAATAGGATTTTTGTACTCTCCCTAAAATATATATATTTTTTTGCATTTAGTAATGCTTGTTAAACTTAGGCCTGCCGGTAGTAGGATCGGTTATCCTAGGCTGACTTTTTTTTTTTGCAGTACACAGTCCTCCTGTAGGTAGAATAACCCAATAGTATTCTACTTTCTGGATCCCTCAATGGTCGCCAAGAAAAGGATTTTATGAGTGTAAAACCCTATTTTTAAGACTGGTTTCCTGGCTGTTTGCTACATAGCTTTCATAATTTTTCCAGTGAAAAATATTTGTTCTTGAAAGATGAACGTTGCTTTATTTCCTTCAGGGAGTAGAAGATGCTTTCTACACATTAGTGAGGGAGATACGACAGCACAAGTTGCGGAAGCTGAATCCTCCTGATGAAAGTGAGAAGGGGTGTCTGAATTGCAAGTGTGTTGTATCCTGACCATGGTAAGTAGAGTTACAACTTCTACTAGTTCACATTTTCCAGAAATAATTATATGTAGTCTTAAAGAGTAGTCACATGTTTTTCCCAGTTGTATAAAGAGTCTGAAGCTGTTATGACTATCTTTTTAACACATCAATATTTTCTTCCATTCATACCTATGGGCACCTGCTGAATTTTAAAATACACCCAAAGATCAGCATTTATTCCCATGAAGCAAAAAGTATCATTTATTTTTGGTGAGTACAGATTGTTAGCCCTGAATATTGTACTAAGAGAAAATACAAAACCACTACCCATGCCCTTTAAATATACACATTTTAGGTTAGTCACTAGGAGAAGTTCACAGCAGTGGGGAGAGTCCTAGTGACCACTGTCATCAGAGCAAGGAAATCCAACATTTGGAGTTGCCTTTACCTGGCTCCCTACTGCCATAAAAGGAAATGATGGACGGGTGGTGGTTCTCTCATTTTGGGAGGATGTCATATGCCGTCCTCCCACTCTAACCGCACGTGCGCGCCCCCGGGGGTGCACAGCGCGGCGATCGGTGGTGCGCTGTGTCCCTGGGACACAGCGGCTCACCGATCAGTGGAAAGAGCCGATGACATCGGCTTTATCATGCGATCAGCTCTGTCCAATCACAGCTGAACGCATGTAAATAAGGGAATGCCAGTTATCGGCATTCCTCTCCTCACGAGCTGTCACGCTGACAGCTCGTGAGGAGCGGAGAGCTGGTAATCGGTATTCCTCAGAGGGGATGTGTACACTGGTCATCAGGGCACTGATGATCAGTGTCCTGATGATCAATGTAACCCCAATCAGTGCCACCTGTCAGTGTCCATCAATGCTACCTGCCAGTGCCCATCAGTGCCAATATATCAGTGTCTACCAGTGCATATCAATGCCACATATCAGTGCCCATCTGAGCTGCCTTTCAGTGCCAACTATCACTGCTAGTCAGTGCCGCCTACCAGTGCCATATATGAGTTCTGCCTTTCAGCGCCCATCAGTGATGCCTGTCAACTCCCATCAGTGCGACCTACCAGTGCCGCCTCATCAGTGCCCATCAGTGCAGCCTCATTAGTGCACATCAGTGAAAGAGAAAAATTACTTATTTACAACATTTTATAACAGAAACTAAGAAAGAAAACTTTTTTCCCAAAATTTTCAGTTGTTTTTGATTTGTTTATCAAAAAAATAAAAAACCCAGAGGTGATTAACCACTTGAGCTCCAGAGGATTTACCCCCCTTAATGACCAGGCCTCTTTTTGCTACTCGGCGCTGCACTAATTCAACTGATAATTGCGCGGTCATGCAATGCTGCACCCAAACAAAATTTACGTCCTTTTTTTCACACAAATAGAGCTTTCTTTCGGTGGTATTTGATCATCTGTGCGCTTTTTATTTTTCACGCTATAAACAAAAAAAGGCCAACAATTTTGAAGAAAAACAATATTTTTTACTTTCAGCTATAAAAAATATATAGTAAACTCAAAGTTGGTTATAAATTTAGGCCAAAATGTATTCTGCTACATGTTTTTGGTAAAAAAAATCCCAATGAGTGTATATTGATTGCTTTGTGTGGAAGTTATAGCGTCTACAAACTATGGTATAAATACTGCAATTTGCGCCATTTTTCTGCTATACAGCGCTGCGCTAGTTTAACGGACAATTGCGCTGTCATGCAATACGGTACATAAATTAAATTTACATCCTTTTTTCCCCACAAATTGAACTTTCTTTTGGTGGTATTTGATTGCCTGTGCGGTTTTTATTTTTTGCGCTATAAAAAAAAAAAGCTGACAATTTTGAGGGAAAAAAAATAATATTTTGGACTTTTTGCTATAAAACATGTCCAGTAAAAAAAAATGCAAAAATCAAATTTAGTCATAAATTTCTGCCAAAATGCATTCTGCGACATGTCTTTGCTAACAAAAAAAAAACCAATACGTGTAAATTAATTGGTTTACGTGAAAGTTATAGCATTTACAAATGGCGGGAAAGATACTGGGATTTTTAGGTTTTTTTTTTTTTATACTAATAATGGCGGCGATCAGCGAATTATGGCGGAGATCAGTGACTTATGGCAGCGACCAGCGACTTATGGTGGGACTGCGGGACTACGGCGGACATTCTGACATTAGGGGGTACTGACTTGGGGTCACTGACATCCCCAAAAAACACTAATACAGTGATCAGTGCAAAAAAAAAAAAACACTGACACTGTACTAATGGCACTGGGACACCGCTGATCGAGAGAGAGAGAAACTCTTCTTTCTCGATCAGCTCTTCCTCGTGCTGTCAGGGAAGTGACAGACAGCACAGCTACTTCAGCTGTGCTCTCTGTCACTGTTGATCGCCGGGCAACAGCCAGTAAGGACCGGCTGTGACCCGGTGACTGACATCCGCGGCGGTGATTGGGACAGATAGGGCGGCGGCGCGCCCCCTATCTGTTTACAAAACACGCGTTTTAAAACGTGGTCTTTGCCTGCTAGTGCCGCCCTGCCGCCGTATTTCTACAGTGGCAGGGCGGCAAGTGGTTAAATACCACCAAAAGAAGCTCTATCTGTCTCAAAAAAAAAAAAAAAATTCCTAATGGGTACAGTGTTGCATGACCGTGCAATTGTCATTCAAAGTGCGACAGCGCTGAAAGCTAAAAATTGGCCTGGACAGGAAGGGGGGTGAAAGTGCCTGGTTAAAACTGGAATTTGGGGGTGGATGGGTAGGAGAAGGGGAGATAGTCTTCCAGTGGGGGTATTTTTGTGATGACAACTGTTTGAGGATTACCTCTTCCTGTTGTGTTTACTGAACAGGAAGTTAAGGGACTAGTGATAAAGTAAAGGTAAATCATTCTGATGAGACAAAGATGGCAAAAGAAAAAGTGATGTGTGTTAACCATTCCATACTCTTTCCAAACCAACAAAAGGCTTTTGCTTTTACAAAAGCAAATTACAAAATAACAGCCAATTAAGAAGAGCATTACTTTCAGTGGGTTGATTTATATTGTGAGGAACAGTGAATAAAAACTAAAGTGGTGTGCTGCAAAGCAAAAATCTGGTGGCAGACTAATTACAGACTAAATACAGTCTATATTAGTTGAAGCAAGGTTTTTAGAAACATGCATTGGTAAAATTATTTAAATACTGCAAATGTCACTTTATTGCAATCTGGGATCCTCTTTTCCACAGCCACTGTCACATTTTAAAATCTTCCCACACAGTCACGTTATTCATTCACAGCCAACTGTGAATTAATAAACTAGAAGTGTTGTCTGCCACCGTGGCAAAGAGCTTGTAGTTCTCAATGGACTTCGAGCACGCTGATGAGCGCCCTTGTAGTCCACAGACACTTCCTCCAGCTTTCAAACAGCCTGTACAGAAATATGGGCAGGAAAGCTGGAGGATGTGTCTGCAGGAACCTGATATTGCATCTGTGATTCACTGATCACAGGTGAAATTCTCTGCAGGCTTCTGTAGGAAAAAAGAATGAATGCACATTTTTTTTCTGCAAAAATATGTGCATTTATAATTTTTTCCGGAAAGGTAAATGTATTCTTAAAAGTGATACAAATAGCAATACCAAAGTGACTTATAAAATAGTGCTCATCATCCAGTGAAGGAATCCGTGGTACTACAAGGTACAGCAATGCCAATGTTAGATGTTCAAAATGGTGCTCATAATCCAGTGTGGGAATCCACCACCTCTTATGGATATCTCACACTAGCATTGCTGTGCCTTTTTAGTACCACAGATTTCTTCACTGGATGATGAGCACTATTTTATTAGTCACTTTGGTATTGCTGTGATTTTTAGTACCATGGACATTTTTTCATACTCTGACATCTGAATGGTTATATGTGTAATACATTAATACTTTGTCACATGGTTTATTGTAATCAGGTGTTCACATTTTTCACCATAACACTGTATGACATAGTTAGTCTGACTGAAAAAAGACAAAGTCCATCAAGTTCAACTAAAAAATAAAATAAAAAAGTTATAATCCTATACCCACAGTTGATCCAGAGGAAGGCAAAAAAAAAAAAACCCAGCAAAGCATGGGCCAGTTTGCTCCTGCAGGGAAAACAATTCCTTCCTGATCCCTGAGAGGCAATCGGATATTCCCTGGATCAACTTTACCTATAAATGTTAGTATCCAGTGTTATTCTGTGTATCTAGGAAAGAATCCAGGCCTTTTTAGAAGCAATCCACGGAGCTGGCCATAACCAACTCTTGAGGGAGTCTATTCCACATCTTCACAGCTCTCACTGTGAAGAGACCTTTCCATGTTTGGAGATTAAATTTCTTTTCCTCCAGATGTAAAGAGTGCCCCCTTGTCCTCTGTGATGACCTCAGGGTGAATAGCTCTCCACCGAGTTCACTATATGAACCACTGATGTAATTATACATGTTGATCATATCCTCCCTTAATCTCCTCTTCTCAAGAGAGAATAAATTAATTTCCTCTAAGCTTTCCTCATAGCTGATCTCCTCCATGCCTCATATCAGTTTGGTTGCCCTTCTCTGTACTTTCTCCAGTTCCCCAATGTTCTTTTTGTGAATTGGTTCCCAAAACTGAACTGCATATTCCAGATGAGGTGTTACTAATCATTTGTACAAGGGTAAAATCTCTCTCTCTCTCGCTCTCGCTCTCTCTCTCGTTTTTTTTTAGAAACCGCAGCTTGGCATTGCATGCCATTATTAAGCTTGTGATCTACCAGAACCCCCAGATCCTTCTCCACCATTGACGATGACGATACTTAATGTTTTAGTGCTGCACTTCTAGTTGTATCAGTTCTTGCGGGTTTTGTTGCCTTTGCCCTTTTGTGCTAGCAGGTCTTAATACTCAGCTCTCATCACATATTCTGTATGTGTTCTTAAAAGTACCAATAGAAGGACTTAGGAAGGCATACGGTCAAGCATGACTTTTTTAAACAAAAGAAAAGTGGAGATTTGGATTTAGAATCTGCTGACCTATATCTTGGGTTCTACCAATTTAA